TCTAATTTTCTGAGATTGTAGATTTGGGGTTTTCATGAGCTGTAAGCCATAATCATCACAGTTATGACACATCATGGCTTGAACTATCTTGGTTTGCATGTAATGAGTCTATCTCATATATTAGGTTCACCTTTTAAGTTGCATTACTGAAATAAATGAACTTTTGCACGATATTCTAATTTTTCGAGTTTCACCTGTACACACATAAGTCTTGAAACTAGAATTTGTAGCTTCGGAACTGGGAAGGCGTTTGAGCCAGTTACTCTCCATTTAAGAAGCAACTGTACTTTATTTTCTGAAACATATGTATGTGCTGTGCCTGACACTCCTCTGCAAACAACCTGTGCCTTTAGTACCCAACTCTACACATGAAGGCCCTTATGTGTATGAAAATAGAGGACCCTAAATGATAACATGGGAAATATAGGAGGACCCTAAATGATAACATGGGAAATATAGTACGGAAGGGAGAAGAGTCTGTTAAGCGAGAGCCCTCTGCTTTTAAGGATGGGAAATATTTTAAAGAATGCTGCTGCCCTTGAAAAATATGGCTGAGTTTGCAAAGCAGAGTTGTGTTTACATTGGAAATGCATCTAGGATTCTTGTGAACCCATCACTCAACCAAACAGTGATCAGCCTTATAATGCTTTCAGGGGGAAGGAATCATAAATCCAGCCACTCTCCCTCTGCCTTGCCAGCCACAGCACTGTCAAATGAAGCATGTCATGATGATATGTCTGAAATGGTCTACTCGACGGTCTCCTGCTCGAGCAGGGGGCTGGACTAGAAGATCTCCGAGGTCCCTTCCAACTCTGTTAATTCTGTTTGACGTTCTATAACCTAAAACTCAACCAGTGTGGAAACAGGAACAGCTGCAGGAGTGTGGTGCAACAACCTCAGCATAATCCCGCAGCAGGTCTTAAATCTTTCCATCCAGGATATTTCCTTCTTTCCACATTACACATTCCTGTCAGAATACAATTATATTTCATTTCTAGTTATCTACTCTGGGAAAAACCCATTTCTGCTCTCTCTGGATTCTGTCATACTACGAAGGGGAAGGGGGATGAGCAGGGGGGTTTTATGGCTCTCACTTCCTTCATTAAAACTTCAAAAGGACTGGATGTTGATTCTCACCAAGAGGACTGACCATAACAATATGGCCATCGCCTTTCATCTACTCTCTCTGAAGTGTAAGGAAAAAGGGGGGAACAAGGATCGTCGCCCGGAAGAACTGTGGGGTGGGGGGCTGCTTGGGAACGCTTAAAACATTGAAGGATGGGAGAGAATTTCTCAGATCCTGTCTAGCACGCCTGCAATCATTTTCTCTTAATAAAGTTGCCTGTTGGAAAAGATATTCCAAGAGTTCTGTCTTCTTAAGATGTAAAGTGAGGTGGGTCCCCTTGGTAGAATTACAAAGGTAACCCAACAGAGAGAGGAAAAAAATGAACTGTTCATAATCCTTCTTAATTAATCAAGGAACAATTAACCAACCTGAATACTCAATAACTTCCTCAGGTGACTTTCCTTCCACCTCGCGGGCAATATCATCTATGTCGTCACGGCCATATTTTTCATTAGCTTTAATAAACTGGTTGAAGTCTCTTTTGTTCCAGTTTGTAAAACCCTGTTAAAAGAAGAAGTTGTTTTTGCCAGATCTTGCATCTTAAAAGAGGACACATTTAGATTTGCTCATTAATGCCGCGATACAATGTCACATAATAATTACAGGGGTTAATGATCTTGCAGTATTTCCACAAACATCTATTATCCGGGGTTTATTACTCAAGTCAAAAAAAAAAAAGCTGAGTTATTTTTGAGCACATCTTCTCACGCTTAAGGGAGAGAAGTTGTTCTATTCATGCTTGTAAATGGCAAATCTCCAGAGAGACAAAGTTCAGTCCGAATCTTAGCGGGCTTTCACTTGTATCACACTTGAACAATTACAAGTAAGTAACCCCCCCAAAAAATATATGTAAGAATATGAGGGCATTTGTCCAGATGTCACAGGCAATCTTCTGGAACTAAATGCAGGAACATTCTGTTTCAAACACTTACAAAGCAAATGGTGAATGAAATTAACACCTGGAAGGGTAGAAAATCCCCAGTTCCCATGCATACTTTTGATAAAATTGGGGGGGGGGGGGAGGAAAGAGATTTAAGAAAAAAACCCTCCTGCTAAGTATGGAAGAAATATAAACAAAAACTTGGCACTAAAAATAGTTCCTTAAACATCATTAAACTTTTAAACCATTAAATGCGGAACCTCTAAAGACTCATTTATCGGAGAGGCAAATGTCAAATATTTGATACGGTGTGCCACTGATAATCAGTATTTGACCAACTGCAGAAATACTGTAAAATGCTATATATATATGTGACACTTATTTGAAATCTACTGAAAACCAGCTATTCTACACAACGAACATTTCCTTCACCCAGAAAGAACCGCTACTCTGATGGAAGAATCTCTGCTCTTAAATACAAGTTTCCTTCTATTTAGGAACTATCCTTCCAAACCCCTTGTCTAAAACAACAAATAAGCAGCGAGAAAGGAGTTGGTACTTTTTGAAGCATGGATTAACATCAGCATGACTCCCATTAGCTACAGGTAGTTCTTTACTTACAACAGATTATCTAGTGCAGGGGTAGGCAACCTTGGCTCTTTTATGACTCGTGGACTTCAACTCCCAGAATTCCTGAGCCAGCTCAGGAATTCTGGGAGTTGAAGTCCACGAGTCATAAAAGAGCCAAAGTTGCCCACCCCTGATCTAGTGACTCTTCAAAGCTACAACGGCACCCCCAAAAAGTGACTTATGACCGTTTTTCACACTTGCGGCCGTTGCAGCATCCCCGTGGTCACGTGATCAAAATTCAGACGCTTGGCAACTGTCTCGTATTTATGACGGTCGCCGTGTCCCGGGGTCATGTGATCCCCTTTTGCGACCTTCTGACAAGCAAAGTGAATGGGGAAGCCAGATTCACTTAACAACTGGGTTACTAACTTAACAGCTGCAGTGGTCCACTTAACAACTGTGGCAAGGAAAAGTCATAAAATGGGGCAACATTCACTTAACAAATGTCTCACTTAACAGAAATTTGGGGCTCGATTGTCAAGGACTACATCTATTTGGATTTGCTAATGTCATTCTATTTTTGAATGGAGGAAGATTCAACACCATGCATATAAATTTGGGATTAAGCTCTACGAAGCTCCCCGATTCTATCTCATAGAAGACTCGCCTATAGAAAGCTCAATTCAGGGGTGTGCAAAGCCTTTCATATATCACCTGTCTCAAGGTTGAAATGTTCTTCTGAGCACAAAATAGCCATCTTCAGCCAGAAACAGTCTAAGAATTCGGAAATGTTTCAAGCTCCAACTTTTTTTCGTCTTAAAATACTTGCCAAATGCAGAGAGTAGCATGTTTTACAAGTGAAATTTAAAACATTTTGCATATCCACAGTCTTTTCCAAGCTGAAGCCAATTTCGGGAGACTTTAGGGATACATCCATGTTGGTCTTGTTGCAGCAATACAGAAGTGGCTTTCCACGGGCTTCTTGCGGGATAATTTTCTTTAAATTTTCCCGGTCCGGCCTACAAACCTGGAATTCTCTGTAGGAATCTCTACCACGTACTACTCAGACTCAATTCTATTTGAACTTCAGAACCCAGACAATATCAACCATCTGCTGCCATCTGCTGAGACAGCTGTATATTTTTAGATAATAGCTGAAATGCTCACTTTTACATCAAGGTGTATTTCTTAGTTTTTACTGATGTTCTACCATTTTGGGGTTAGTCACATTTTTTTTTATTATCAAAGTTTGTTTCTCGCTCTGTCAGTATAACTAAACTGAACTGGTTTTTATACACCTATCTTTTTACATTTTACATTTGTCTGTTTCCGTTTTTCTAAGTCTACAAAATACATGGACAAAAGTTTGTAATTTGTCACAACATTTTTTTTACAAATGAGAGAGACATCTCTAATCCTTGGATCTGGTTGATACTGTATTTTCGTTGTAAGATTCACTTCATCTGACACTGGCAATTTAAATGATCAAAAGGCAATTAAGTCAACCTTTCAAAAGGAGGATTCAAGTATACGTATCCTTAATATAGAAGTCTAACTGCTATTGCTATTGCTAATATAGGATATTTTAAGATAAGATGATGATGATAAGATAAGATAAGATAAGATAAGATAAGATAAGATAAGATAAGATACCCTTTATTGTCATTTTTTTACTGTGGGCACAACGGCACACATCAAAAATGAAATTTAGTTGCCCGCTCTCAAAGTGGTCACCACGATGTAAAAAAGATGTTGAGACTCTAGAAAGAGTACAGAGAAGAGCAACAAAGATGATCAGGGGACTGGAGGCTAAAACATATAAGGAACGGTTGCTGGAATTGGGTATGTCTAGTTTAACAAAGAGAAGGACGAAGGGGGACATGATAGTAATGTTCCAGTATCTCAGGGGCTGCCCCAAAGAAGAGGGAGTCAAGCTATTCTCCAAAGCGCCTGAAGGCAGGACAAGAAGCAACGGATGGAAACTAATCAAGGAGAGAAGCAACCTAGAACTAAGGAGAAACTTCCTGTCCATGAGAACAATTAACCAGTGGAACAACCTGCCTCCAGAAGCAGTGAATCCTCCAACACTGGAAGTTTTTAAGAAGAGACTGGACAGCCATTTGTCCGAAATGGTATAGGGTTACCTGCCTGAGCAGGGGGTTGGACTCAATGACCTCCAAGGTCCCTTCCAACTTTATTATTATTATTATCACTTATATGCCATGTCCTGGATGGAAGGGAGTGAACTGCCAATAATCTTTTCTGCCATCCTCACCACTCTCTGCACCGCCTTCCTCTCCGAAGCAGGGATGCTTCCAAACCAAGCAGGGATGCTTCCGAAGCAGGGATGCTCCCGATATATAGCATTTTACAGTATTTCTGCAGTTGGTCAAACACTGATTATCAGTGGCATACTGTATCAAACCAGACAATAATGCCATATGACAGGATGCTCCCGATCGTCCCTCTGTAGAAAGTGGTCAGGACAGGGGAAGGAAGATGTGCTTTTCTCATGCAACACAGAAAATGCAGGCGCTGCTGGGCCCGCTTCACAAGTGTCTCACTGTTGAGCAACCAAGCCAGCCCATTCATTAGCTGCACACCCAGAAGCTCAATACTGCTAACCTCCTCCTCAGGTGAATCATTAATACACAGAAGTGTGTGGCTGTGCCTGCCCTTTCTGAAATCCACAATGTAGTTTTTCCTACATTTAGAACAACCCTGTTTTTGTTACACAGGTTCACCAAACCCTCTACCTCCTTGTGGTAAGCACCCTCATTGTCATCCTGAAAAAGGCCCACAACTGTTGTATCAAAGAATGGGGTAAAATTTACTTAACAAATGTCTCACTCTCAGCAACAGAAATTTTGGGCTGTAAGTTGAGGACTACCTGTATTGATGATGTTACCTAGTTTGGATCATGAAACGTCTGCAAGAAAACAACCAAGCCCAGAGCATCAAGGACCCCTCATTTCAACCCTGAGCTACAAATATTCTTCTTTAGTGGTAGCTTTTTGTTTTCAGCTGGGGCTTCCTCCATTATTTATATTTTCCTGCTCCAACAGCTGTAGGGGATGGCTGTCATTTTAGGGTCAATAACATTATCTTGTTTAGGGGAGGATGTGTGTGAGTTTTAATGTAAAATATCTGCATTAAATATCGCATTTATGTCCCCTTCCCCCTTTGGGGGATGGAGTGTTTGGGGGGGGGGACTGCATGTAGTCCTGCCAACTCTGGCTTCGAGTCAACGCAATTACAAATTAATCCATATGATCAGACAGCATTTGCAGTTTTCCAGGGGACAATTACGGTAATGTCTTGCACAGCAAGTAGACGGGTTCATAATCACAGCTTTTTCTTCTTCTTCTTCTTCTTTTTTTTTCCTAACAAAAAATAAAGCCAGAAGCTACAGTAGATACCTGGGTGAGCAGCCTTTCTTTCTCTTCGGCCTCTTCGGAAGAAAGAGGAGCCGATTCGTCAATCTTCCGCTGTTCTTCCTTCTGCACCTGAGCTGCATTTGGAAGGTCAGGGTTTCTGGGGACCTAAAACCAGCAATGAAATGAATGAATGGTTAAGAGAGCCAACGCTATTAAAGGTTCTGGATAGAGGCCTATCCAGCTGCCTTTATGGCCTGTCTCCGAAACGCCAAAAGGCGAGATGGATGCATTTTCCCCCCCATCTGCTGGGGATTTGTTAAGGGAAGAAATATTTCTCCGGCAATAGTAGAGAAACATTCTTTTTTACTTGTGTTTACAGGCCTCAGAAAGTTCTCCGGGCGAGATGAACATAACCTATCATAACTCATCTCTTTCCCTTGCCCCCTCGATGGCTTGCAGGCACTTGTTCCACCCAAGTGTACCAGTAACAGCAATACATAAGTGGCCAAGATGTGTCCAGAGCTCTTTTTAAAGTTTCCAAAAACCTCTGGGTATCATGAATATAGGTGTGTGTGTGTGTGTGTGTGTGTGTGTGTGTAGAAGACACAGCAGGAATACAAACCGTCCAGTGCTTAGGCACTGAAGAAGTGACTTGTGTAATAACCTCTATCCTGTTTGGAACAGGCCAGTGCTACAAAACATTGATTTTAACAATGATGCATATATAAATCCGGAGGGGGTGGGGTGGGGGGGAGAGAATTATTTAATATTTCAATATTATTTCTTTAATGATAAGGGTGCAGTTTCTTACCTTATAGCCTATCGTCTTCCGATAATAGAGGATTTCTTTTTCGAGAAGTTCAAATAACCGGGGCGGAAAGAACTGGAAATCTTGAATATTCGGCTGCTTTGGTGGTCGTGGAGCCTTCGAAATGAAACATGTGTGGTATCAGTGCTTGTGTTCTCGTTTTTATTTGCGTATTCATGAAAATGAATATATTAGCTCTTTGGGTAACAGGGAAGGTTAAACGGCTCACCTTTGGGATTTTAGGCTCACTGACCCGCAGAGCCTCTCGAAAATAGGCATCCACAGCATAGTTGGCTTTGCGTTCTCGTTTTGGAGGCTCGATCCACTCCATCATGCTCAGCTAGAAAAAATAAATACACTCATTAAAACGGTAGGGAATAGATTGACGGGTTCTTGCTAACACGGGTGCTTCTTTACAAAAACCTGAACAAATTGCTGTGCTGTATCGCTTCTGAATAGAAGGATGCCTTTTTTTAAATATTGAAATGTGAATAGTAAAAACTTCCTTGCCATATGTTAAACCACAGCAGTACTGAATTTGAGAAAATTAGGAAACAAAAGCCCACATACATTATTTCACATGCATGAGCTTGGGTGACAACTTCCTTCAGAGAAACAAAAATTAATCGCCTTCATGGGACTCGTTTGAGAATTCCATGATGAACTTGACTAGGATACATTTTCACATGCATCCATCGCCTGGACCCAAGTACAATTAACTTTTGGGCCACTTTCAGGCATCCTACACTGGTTGGACTATGCTTATTGCATGCATTAACAGCAAAATTAATGGGGGACAGACATTTGGTAATTAAAGAAAAAACAATAATGGTTTGATTTAATGCTGACTGGGGGACTCTGGGAATTGAAGTCCGTACATCTTAAAAGTTGCCAATGTTCTAGATCAGGGGTAGGCAACTTGTAGTTCAAAAGCAATTTTATAGACATTTACATCAGAAAATTGTGGCGATGGACTATAACTCTTTGATTGTTATGGGAGATTGGAATGGTGTTCTGGATACGTTAAAAGATAAAAAAACAACTTCTAAGGATGCAACCCTTTCCAGATTACCTAAGTCCTTTTTTGCTATGAAAGATGACTTAGAATTAACGGATGTCTGGAGGTCACAACACATCAATGAACGTGATTTTACTTTTTTTTCTCATAGACATGATTCTTNCAGTGTAAAAAAAAATAATAGTTTCAAACAAAGAGCGAGACAGTCATATTGATTTGACTTGACCAAAAATATGTGGATAGAAAAATGTAAAATGTAAACAGACAAAGGCAAAAAGATTCAGATGTTTTATGTACCTGTTTTCAAACATTAAACAGTGTTGTAAAAAAAATGTTTACTCTCTCTGTAGAGATTAGGAACCTTCTGGTTGATACTGTATTTTCGTTGTAAGATTCACTTCATCTGACACTGGCAATTTAAATGATCAAAAGGCAATTAAGTCAACCTTTCAAAAGGAGGATTCAAGTATACGTATCCTTAATATAGAAGTCTAACTGCTATTGCTATTGCTAATATAGGATATTTTAAGATAAGATGATAAGATAAGATAAGATAAGATAAGATAAGATAAGATAACCTTTATTGTCATTTTTTTACTGTGGGCACAACGGCACACATCAAAAATGAAATTTAGTTGCCCGCTCTCAAAGTGGTCACCACGATGTAAAAAAGATGCTGAGACTCTAGAAAGAGTACAGAGAAGAGCAACAAAGATGATTAGGGGACTGGAGGCTAAAACATATGAGGAACGGTTGCTGGAATTGGGTTTGTCTAGTTTAACAAAGAGAAGGACGAGGGGGGACATGATAGCAGTGTTCCAGTATCTCAGGGACTGCCACAAAGAAGAGGGAGTCAAGCTATTCTCCAAGGTGCCTGAAGGCAGGACGAGAAGCAACGGATGGAAACTAACCAAGGAGAGAAGCAACCTAGAACTAAGGAGAAACTTCCTGACAGTTAGAACAATTAACCAGTGGAACAACCTGCCTCCAGAAGCGGTGAATGCTCCAACACTGGAAGTTTTTAAGAAGAGACTGGACAGCCATTTGTCTGAAATGGTATAGGGATACCTGCCTGAGCAGGGGGTTGGACTCAATGACCTCCAAGGTCCCTTCCAACTTTATTATTATTATTATCACTTATATGCCATGTCCTGGATGGAAGGGAGTGAACTGCCAATAATCTTTTCTGCCATCCTCACCACTTTCTGCACTGCCTTCCTGTCTGAAGCAGGGATGCTTCCAAACCAGACAATAATGCCATATGACAGGATGCTCCCGATCGTCCCTCTGTAGAAAGTGGTCAGGACAGGGGAAGGAAGATGTGCTTTTCTCAGGCGACGCAGAAAATGCAGGCGCTGCAGTGCCCGCTTCACCAGTGTCTCACTGTTGAGCGACCAAGCCAGCCCATTCATTAGCTGCACACCCAGAAGCTCAATACTGCTAACCTCCTCCTCCTCAGGTGAATCATTAATACACAGAAGTGTGTGGCTGTGCCTGCCCTTTCTGAAATCCACAATGTAGTTTTTCCTACATTTAGAACAACCCTGTTTTTGTTACACAGGTTCACCAAACCCTCTACCTCCTTGTGGTAAGCACCCTCATTGTCATCCTGAAAAAGGCCCACAACTGTTGTATCAAAGAATGGGGTAAAATTTACTTAACAAATGTCTCACTCTCAGCAACAGAAATTTTGGGCTGTAAGTTGAGGACTACCTGTATTGATGATGTTACCTAGTTTGGATCATGAAACGTCTGCAAGAAAACAACCAAGCCCAGAGCATCAGGGACCCCTCATTTCAACCCTGAGCTACAAATATTCTTCTTTAGTGGTAGCTTTTTTTTTCCAGCTGGGGCTTCCTCCATTATTTATATTTTCCTGTTCCAACAGCTGTAGGGGATGGCTGTCATTTTAGGGTCAATAACATTATCTTGTTTAGGGGCGGATGTGCGAGTTTTAATGTAAAATATCTGCAATAAATATCGCATTTATGTCCCCTTCCCCCTTTGGGGGATGGAGTGCTTGGGGGGGGGACTGCATGTAGTCCTGCCAACTCTGGCTTCGAGTCAACGCAATTACAAATTAATCCATATGATCAGACAGCATTTGCAGTTTTCCAGGGGACAATTATGGTAATGTCTTGCACAGCAAGTAGACGGGTTCATAATCACAGCTTTTTCTTCTTCTTCTTCTTTTTTTTCCTAACAAAAAATAAAGCCAGAAGCTAGATACCTGGGTGAGCAGCCTTTCTTTCTCTTCGGCCTCTTCGGCAGAAAGAGGAGCCGATTCATCAATCTTCCGCTGTTCTTCCTTCTGCACCTGAGCTGCATTTGGAAGGTCAGGGTTTCTGGGGACCTAAAACCAGCAATGAAATGAATGAATGGTTAAGAGAGCCAACGCTATTAAAGGTTCTGGATAGAGGCCTATCCGGCTGCCTTTATGGCCTGTCTCCGAAACGCCAAAAGGCGAGATGGATGCATTTTTCCCCCCATCTGCTGGGGATTTGTTAAGGGAAGAAATATTTCTCCGGCAATAGTAGAGAAACATTCTTTTTTACTTGTGTTTACAGGCCTCAGAAAGTTCTCCGGGCGAGATGAACATAACCTATCATAACTCATCTCTTTCCCTTGCCCCCTCGATGGCTTGCAGGCACTTGTTCCACCCAAGTGTACCAGTAACAGCAATACATAAGTGGCCAAGATGTGTCCAGAGCTCTTTTTAAAGTTTCCAAAAACCTCTGGGTATCATGAATATAGGTGTGTGTGTGTGTGTGTGTGTGTGTGTGTGTGTGTGTAGAAGACACAGCAGGAATACAAACCGTCCAGTGCTTAGGCACTGAAGAAGTGACTTGTGTAATAACCTCTATCCTGTTTGGAACAGGCCAGTGCTACAAAACATTGATTTTAACAATGATGCATATATAAATCCAGAGGGGGTGGGGTGGGGGGAGAGAATTATTTAATATTTGGATATTATTTCTTTAATGTTAAGGGTGTAGTTTCTTACCTTATAGCCTATCGTCTTCCGATAATAGAGGATTTCTTTTTCAAGAAGTTCAAATAACCGGGGCGGAAAGAACTGGAAATCTTGAATATTCGGCTGCTTTGGTGGTCGTGGAGCCTTCGAAATGAAACATGTGTGGTATCAGTGCTTGTGTTCTCGTTTTTATTTGCGTATTCATGAAAATGAATATATTAGCTCTTTGGGTAACAGGGAAGGTTAAACAGCTCACCTTTGGGATTTTAGGCTCACTGACCCGCAGAGCCTCTCGAAAATAGGCATCCACAGCATAGTTGGCTTTGCGTTCTCGTTTTGGAGGCTCGATCCACTCCATCATGCTCAGCTAGAAAAAATAAATACACTCATTAAAACGGTAGGGAATAGATTGACGGGTTCTTGCTAACACGGGTGCTTCTTTACAAAAACCTGAACAAATTGCTGTGCTGTATCGCTTCTGAATAGAAGGATGTCTTTTTTTAAATATTGAAATGTGAATAGTAAAAACTTCCTTGCCATATGTTAAACCACAGCAGTACTGAATTTGAGAAAATTAGGAAACAAAAGCCCACATACATTATTTCACATGCATGAGCTTGGGTGACAACTTTCTTCAGAGAAACAAAAATTAATTGCCTTCATGGGACTCGTTTGAGAATTCCATGATGAACTTGACTAGGATACATTTTCACATGCATCCATCGCCTGGACCCAAGTACAATTAACTTTTGGACCACTTTCAGGCATCCTACATTCTACACTGGTTGGACTATGCTTATTGCATGCATTAACAGCAAAATTAACGGGGGACAGACATTTGGTAATTAAAGAAATAATAATAATGGTTTGATTTAATGCTGACTGGGGGACTCTGGGAATTGAAGTCCGTACATCTTAAAAGTTGCCAATGTTCTAGATCAGGGGTAGGCAACCTTGGCTCTTTTATGACTCGTGGACCTCAACTCCCAGAATTCCTGAGCCAGCATGGCTGGCTCAGGAATTCTGGGAGTTGAAGTCCACGAGTCATAAAAGAGCCAAGGTTGCCTACCCCTGTTCTAGATATTACTGGATTAAATCTTCCTCTGTTTCTGTCCATTGGCAATGCAGGCTGATCTGAAGATTTAACAGAATAATAGAGCTGGAAGGGACCTTGGAGATCTTCTAGTCCAACCCCGTTCAAGCAGGAAACCCTTTACCCATTCCAGACAAGTGGGTATCCAATCTCTTCGTAAAAAACCTCAGTGATGAAGCACCTACAACTTCTGAAGGCAAGCCGTTTCACTGGTTGATTGTTCTCACTGTTAGGAAATTTCTCCTTAGTTCTAGGTTTGATTAGTTTCCATCCATTGTTTCTTGTCCTGCCTTGTGGTGCTTTGGAAAATAGGTTGACCCCTCTTCTTTGTGGCAGCCCCTCAAATATTGGACCAGTGCTATCATGTCACCCCTAGTCCTTCTTTTCACTAGACTAGATAAACCCAAATCCTGCAACCGTTTTTCATGTTTTAGTCTCCAGCCCTTTTGATTGTTTTTGTTCTCCTTTCTGCACTCTTTCCAGAGTCTCAACATCTTTTTTACAATATTGTAACCAAAGCTGGGTGCAGTATTCTAAGTGTGGTCTCACTGAGGCTTTATAAACATCCAGTGCTTATTTTAAGAAGTTTATGATCCTACTGAAATCAAAAGTCATTCTCTGTAATGCAATTCATGCAACTGCAATGCCACATATATATATATTAAAAATATACCTTTTGCTTCCCTCTATAATCTTCCCCTTCAAAATTGTACAAACTCATTTCAGTCTCCATTGTGAAGTTCCGCAGAGAGCTTTCGCCCATTTTTTGCAAGCGTTCGTTCATTTCAGCTGTCTACAGAAAGTCACAAGGACCAAAAGAAAAAAGAAAAAAGAAAGAAAGAGAACATATTTTTAGAAATGTCTTTTTCATGTATATAAATACTATGGCTGATTTTAATCAGTCTGTATGAAAAGTTAGCTAACCCAAGAGATGTTGTTGTTTTTTCTTGGTTAGTTCCGAGCTGATATTTATTACAGATAGCAGAAGAAAAAATAAATAAACAAGGCACAGTGATTTATGTTCCACATTATCTCACCTTTTTTTCACCTCTTTCTAAAATAGTAGTAATGTCTTCATCAGTCAGTTCACTGTCTTTGGAAGCGAATACGTGAGTTGCTCCATGACGGATCATTTGCAACATTTCGTCTTTTGCTAGTTTGTTAGACTGCTGATCGATAAGCCTTCCTAATACATAAAACACAGAGAAGTTTAACTCCAAACCCGTTCTGAGTTCTATACTAGAATTATAAAGTCATATCCTTCTCTAAGCAGGCTATTTAATAAAATCACGGTTAAAAAAGTGGAAGTATAACAACAAATTTAAATACTTCATCTTATTGCCAAATCTGAAGTAACGATTTATGGAAGGGATTGACTATGCCCTGTGCAATTTAAGGTGAGCACAAATGATATTACCCAACTTTAACAGGACCATTAAATTTTAACTGATCAGCAACAAGTAGCAAGCAAAGCACTTATTTGGCACTGAAGTCACATCCAAAATAGAAAACAGAGTCAGACACTGAACCATTCACATAATAAAACTGTATTCATATAATTTAGGTAGAACTTTAAACAAATAAGGTAGAAATTCCTTTGCCAGAAGGCATCAGAAATGTGCAACATTTTTGTTCAGATGTGAAAAACACTTAACAGGTAATCCTCAACTTACAACTATTCATTTAGTGACCATTTGAAGTTACAATAGCACTGAAACAAGTGACCTATGACTGTTTTTCACACTTATGACCGTTGTAGCATCCCCAAGGTCATGTGATCAAAATTTAGATGCTTGGCAACTGGCATGTACTTATGACGGTTGCAGTGTGCCCTTTTGCGACCTTCTGACACGCAAAGTCAAGGGGGAAGCCGGATTCGCTTAACAACCCTGTTACTAATTTAACAACTGCAGGGATTCACTTAATAATTGTGGCAAGAAAGGTCGTAAAATGGGGCAAAGCTCACTTAACAACTGTCTCACTTAACAATAGAAATTTTGGGCTCAATTGTGGTGAACTGTTGTCAGTCGAGGGCTAGCTCTAACTGCTTACATCAGGGGTGTTTTCCCAACTTCCCAACTTTTAAGACTTGTGGACTTCAACTCCCAGAATTCCCTAGCCAGCCATGCTGGGAGTTGAAGTCCACAAGTCTTGAAAGTTGCCACAGTTGGGAAAACACCCCTGGCTTACATCCTCCATCTTTGTCTGTTCCAATTCCTAATAATAATAATAATAATAATAATAATAATAATAATAATAATAATAATAATAATAATAATAATAATAATAATAATAATAATAATAATAATAATAATAAGAAGAAGAAGAAGAAGAAGAAGAAGAAGAAGAAGAAGTAGTAGTAGTAGTAGTAGTAGTAGTAGTAGTAGTAGTAGTAGTAGGAAGGTACCTTGGAGGTCATCTAGTCCAACCCCCTGCTCAGGCAGGAAACCCTATACCATTTCGGACAAATGGCTGTCCAGTCTCTTCTTAAAAACTTCCAGTGTTGGAGCATTCACCGCTTCTGGAGGCAGGTTGTTCCACTGGTAAATTGTTCTAACTGTCAGGAAGTTTCTCCTTAGTTCTAGGTTGCTTCTCTCCTTGATTAGTTTCCACCCGTTGCTTCTTGTCCTGCCTTCAGGTGCTTTGGAGAATAACTTGACTCCCTCTTCTTTGGGGCAGCCCCTGAGATATTGGAACACTGCTATCATGTCCCCCCTAGTCCTTCTCTTCATTAAATCAGACATACCCAATTCCAGCAACCGTTCCTCGTATGTTTTAGCCTCCTTTCCCCTGATCATCTTTGTTGCTCTTCTCTGCACTCTTTCTAGAGTCTCAGCATCTTTTTTTACATCATGGTGACCAAAATTACAAGGAATGAAACAGCTTTTTTTCCAGCTTCACTACCGAACGCTATTGGCCAGATCCTGGCTTCCCTTGATTTTATCTCTGGATACCATAAACATATTAAACAGTACCTTGTTGAATAACAATGGAGTCCAGCCTCAGTTTTATCTCGGCTCTTTCTACTATCCTCTCTTCAACAGTGTTGTCAGTGATAAGTCGAAATACCCGCACAGGCTTTTTCTGGCCGATCCGATGGGCACGATCCTAATCACGGTAAATTAATAAAGGTGCAAGTGAAAAGATGTTGAAGGCCAAGACAAAGGCGAACGTATCATCATTTAGTCTAGCTTAATTAACCCTTATGAGAAGGAAGGACTCACTGGAGAAGAGCCTAATGCTGGGAAAGATGGAGGGCAAGAGAAGAAGGGGACGACAGAGAATGAGGTGGCTGGATGGAGTCATTGAAGCAGGAGGCGTGAGCTTAAATGGACTCCAGAAGATGGTAGAGGACAGGAAGGCCTGGAGGAACATTGTCCATGGGGTCACGATGGGTCGGACACGACTTCGCAACTAACAACAACAAAATTAACCCTTCAAATGCAATATTTACATAACATGTTTTTTTTAATTAGTTTATCTGAAGGAGTGCAACCGGCCAGAAATGTACCTTACCATCGCTTGTAGATCGACTTGTGGGTTCCAGTCTGAATCATAGAGGATCACAACATCAGCTGTCGCTAAATTAATCCCCAGGCCTCCGGCTCTTGTACTCAACATAAAAACGAACTTCCTACTGTTTGGAGCATTAAAGGTGTCTATTGCTTCCTAAAAAAAAAAAAAAGGAGGAGGAGGAGGAGGGGGGGGAGAGATTATATTAAAAATACTGTTTCCTGGAAGGGATCAAGAATCTGTTTTTTTTTCTGCCTTGTTTCTAAAATAGTTACATCTTAAATTGCCATATTTGATTCTAATTTCTTTTTTAAAATGTATTGTATCCCAATTTCATTTTAAACTGTATTTTATTTCTATTTTATCCTAAATTACGTTTTAACTAATTCCATTCTAAACTGTTTTTACTGCATTTTAGTATGTGTGTTTGGAACTCTGCACCTGGATATGGCCCACAAAATGGGCTAATCAATAAAGATTTTTTTAAAAATAGTTACAGGGACAAACCCGGCCATGATAGAAACATGGTGAATCAAAACTCTTTCCTTTACACCTCCAAGCAGTTCTACAAGCAACCCGATCCCCAGCCTATGAATTACAGAGATCGCCAAACACCACAGGTGACTCTCACCGGCATCCTTTGTAAATGCACCTTTTATTTTCCCTTAAAGTGATACAGGTAGTCTTCGGCTTGCAGCCATTCATTTAACTACCATTCAAAGTTACGACAGTACTGAAAAAGATGTTTTACGAGCTTTCCCTGCCCTTATCAACTTGCAGAAGGTTGGAATTTAAGCACTTGGCAACCATCATGTATTTACAATGATTGCCACATGCCAGGGTCAGGTGATCACCCTTTTCAACCTTCCCAGTGGGTTTCCAACACGTAAAGTCAACAGGAGAAGCTGCAGTCACTTAACAACTGTGTGATTCGGTTAACAACCATGGCAAAAAAAAGTTCATAAAACCAGGTAGAACTGCCTTAACGGCCGCATCGCTTAGGGAGGGAAGTTCCAGTTCCAATCGTGGTTTTAAGGGCTGCCTGTAGTTGAAACTCAAACCAGAAAGTTGAATGATACGACAGAATGCCATAATGACCAATTAATCTCTGTTTATAAGGCCTGACAGAAGATAAGACCACTGACACAGCACGTTGGCCCTCGGGGAAAACAGCGAAGAAATGTTAGTTGTTACACAGCCTGTGTTCAGGACAGAACAAAATACAAATTCTTCCCACCTCTCTCTCCTCGTGTGGCGTTTGCCCATCCAAGCGGCAATATTCATAACCTCGCCACATGCAGTAGTCTTCCAATATATCCAATAAGCGAGTCATTTGGCTAAAAACAAGAACTCTGGAATCTGAGGGACAAATGAGGGAGAGAAGCACCTTTAACTACACTCGCGGTAATGATAATGAGAAGATCTACATTAAATAGGTATGACCGAGAATGAATGAACATTTACCGATATCAGTTAGGACCAATGAACAATGGCTAACTTTGGTGGATCTTCTCAACTGAATCTGGAATTATTTATTTATGTATTAAATTCACAGGCCACTCAACTGCATCCCAACAGGGCAATTCTTTTCATTAATTTATCCATTCATTCATTTCTATCCCACCTCTATTATTTTTACAAATAACTCAAGGCTGCAAACATGTCCAACAAACCTTCCTTCTCTTCTTTTCCCCACAACAACAACCCTGAGGTGAGTTGGCCGGAGAAAGAGGGACTGACCCAAAGTCACCCAGCTGGCTTTCGTGGCTAAGGTGGGAACTTGAACTCGGGGGTCTCCCATTTTCTAGCCTGGTATCTTAACCACTAGTCCAGGGGTAGGCAACCTTGGCTCTTTTATGACTCATGGACTTCAATTCCCAGAATTCCTGAGCCACCCATGCTGAGGGGAAAGGGAGAGGTTTCCAAGATGAGCCATGCTGGCTCAGGAATTCTGGGAGTTGAAGCCCACAAGTCATGAAGGGGTCATAGTTCCCCCATGCTGGCTCAGGAATTCTGGGAGTTGAAGTCCACGAGTCATGAAGGGGTCATAGTTCCCCCATGCTGGCTCAGGAATTCTGGGAGTTGAAGCCCACAAGTCATGAAGGGGTCATAGTTCCCCCATGCTGACTCAGGAATTCTGGGAGTTGAAGTCCACGAGTCATAAAAGAGCCAAGGTTGCCTACCCCTGCACTAGACAAAACACTATTTACTGGCAATGTATAAGACAATTAAAAATACGATGATATGGAAATTGTGCAGAACAAAAGTCCGGGGGGGGGGAGACAGAATGCCACAACAAAGTCTCACAAGGGGTCCCACTAGCCCAAAACTGGGAGGGAAGGGAAGGAGAGAAGTCTGTCTTACCCTGTTCTTTGAGTTTCGATAGTAATTTGTCCAGGGCAACCATTTTGCCACTATTGCTCACTAGATGAGTATCGGTGGTGTAAGGAGGGCCTGGTTCAGCCCCGTCAAACAGGTAGGGGTGATTGCAACACTTCCTCAGCTGCATCAGGATGTTCAACAACCGCATCTTGTCCATTTTGCCCGCTGAGTTTAAGATATCGATGTCTTTCATCAGGATCTTGGTATACCTGTAAGGTGAATGGCATCATTTAATAATAAAGGAACAACACATTGTTTGAATGCATAAAGGATGAAAGAGACTCGGTGTATTAAGATTAAAACTTTGGCTCTCCCCTTTCTCAAGTCAAATTCCCGCGTTGTTTCTCTGAACATCGAGAAACAGTAAAACTTTTTTTTTTTAATCAATTCCCAACCTATCGGCTTTACAGAGGAAAAAAAGAGGAAAAAAGAGCCAACACATCTTTTTGGGGAATACTAATCTAGTGATAATAGTAACTTGAATTTTAGTATTTAGCAAATGTCAAAGGTTTGGTGTAGAGTTGGGGTTACAAGAAAAATCTTGTAATGTAGATTAATGCTCTATTATTGTCCCAGACTAAAGTGGGAAACGGAAAAAAGAACTATAGCTTAAGCTAAAATAGCTTACTTAAAATTTATCCAATCCAATCATACACATAGAAAAACCTAAAAGAAATATTAAGGATGGCTTAAAAGAGTTTCCAGGTACATTAATATATTCAACTGCCAGTTGTTTTAATAAGGACCACCTTGCTTCCGTCACATAATCAGTGTATCATTCTCCTGTTATAAGATTTTTTTTAAAAAAAAATTACCATTCCCTCTGCATTTTGCTGAGTCCCAGATAAATTTTTACTTCTTTTTTAGGAGGCAAGCTTTTTTCCACTTCAGCTTTTATGCGCCTTAGCAGAAATGGTTTCAAAACCTGAAAAAAAAACAATAGAAACATGGGGAACATTTTAGTGATATCCCAGATTCTTCAGATATTTCTCCCTGAACAGGAGTCCTCAACATATGGCAAAGAGGGCTGAAATTTTGGTTGTAATTTGTGGTCATGTGTCAAGGTGCCATGTGACTGGACTCAATTTTACGACTGTTTTTACATTGGTTGTAAAGAAAGACACTACAGTCATTAAGCAAAGCCAAAGAGCATTAAGTGAATCCATTGTTTGGAATGGGCATATTTGCTGGAAACTGGGAAAAATGTCACAACTTGTGGTCAAATAACTGCAGGATGTTGCAACCGGTTGTAAATGTGAGCCAGCTGCCAAAATGCAATCATGTGACCATGAGGGTGTAGGGTAGCAGTCATAACTTCAAGAACAGGATGTAAGTAGGTTTAAGTCTGTTGTTAACTCTGAACGGTTGTTCAACAACTGGCTGTAAGTCAAGCTTAGAGTGAAGGTTCTGCCATCTTCCTTACATACCAGACTACATTGCCCATAATCCCCAGTTTTGCTAATAGTATAGGAATTGTGTAAACTCCTTTCATTTTTAATTGCGGAAATTGGTTGCTTCGCTTTTAAAAAAAGGAGATCTATTCCTTCAAAATAGATAATTGGTATTTTGTACACTTCTCATATATACAGATTAGAATGTGATTTGTTTTAAAAACAAGTATTTACAAAAAACTATAAGCAAGTCAGATGTAGTAGTAAATATTTATCAATTTAAAAAATCCTCCCAAACATATAAAAAACAGGAGGAGAGTGGCACCTCACACATCAATAAAAAAGCAATAAATTAAAAGTGCATGTACGTTTTATCAACTGTAAGTCCTTTTTTAAAAAAAAATCTTCACCAAAGGAGAAATGAGATGAGCCCTGGAAAAGGAGTTTTAAAGCCTAGATTTGAACACCATAATAGTTTCACTGACAGTCACACACTGCCTCAACCATGTGCTGCCCAGTCTCCGATGCATGGAAGTTGGGCCAATAAACTTCTATCAGGAAATACTACCATACTTACTGCATGAAGTCTTTCGACAAGTTTTTGATCACCAAGACAATTTTTAGTATCAAACCACGAGTCAAAGTCCTGCAGATGTAAAAATGTATTTTACTTTTATGTTTGTAATTTCAATTTTCTCAGTGCTTAGGTTAGCTCAAACAGAAATTATAGGACACAAACATATATAGATATCAATATATCTATGTCGAATTCTTCCGTCCCATACTACGTAAAACATAATCTTTGCTTTGAAATCATAGTTGTGCCACAAATGTACGTCACCAACTGCAATTGGAAAAAGGGAGGAATCTAAACTAATGTAAGGTTAGGGCACAAGTATATTTTGCTCTAAGGAAGGGAAAACTCAACACAAGTATATCAATTGTACAGTGGCAACCCTTGATTTTGTAGTACATGTTGTTCCACCTGAAAATAAGACCATATCTGCTTCTATTTCTCAAGGCAAATGTAATCCAGCCATTTTTTCTCTTATCAGTGATGCACCTGCTGGAAAATAAGTTCAAAATACCAATATCAATCAGAATAGAGCTAGAAGGAACCTTGGAGGTCTTCTAGTCCAACCCCCTGCTCAAGCAGGAGACCCTACACCATTTCAGATAAATGGTTGTCCAGTATCTACTTAAAAACTTCCAATGATGAAGCACCCACAACTTCTGAAGGCAAGGAGTTCGGCTGCTTGAATGTTCTCAATGTTCGGACATTTCTCCTTAATTCCACGTTGCTTCTCTCCTTGATTTAGTTTCCTTCTTTGTTTCTTGTCCTGCCCTCTAGTGCTTTGGAAAATAGGATGACCCCTCTTCTTTGTGGCAGCCCCCCAACTACTGAAATACTGCTATCATGTCACCCGCTAGTCCTTCTTTTCTCTAGACTAGCCATACCCAATTCCTCAACAATCCAACAGCATACATAATTACACATGGCTATATCAGAAGAAAAAACATAGCAAGGATACATTGCAGGTTAGCCAAGATTTATCAGACTGATTCTTGACCTGAGCATTCCTACCTACAGCAATTATTCCTCTAGGTTCTTATGTAACCTCGTTATGAGCTGCTTCCATGAACTTGATTATTTACCTGTCTCTCACCATCATTCTTATTTCTTCTTTCTCCTCTGTTATAAGCCATTGTAGTAAAATGTAAAAGCAAATGCAGTGATTTGAAGGTAAAACCTAGTTTGCTGTGAAATGTGTAATTTAAATAACTGAAAGACTTCAATGTCAAACCCAGTCTCACCTCTGCAGAATTAAAGACATCTGGTAAAAGGAAATTGAGCAATGCCCACAGCTCATGAAGATTATTCTGTAAAGGGGTTCCTGTTAAGAGCAAGCGATTTGTCGTCTTGAATTCACGGACAATCTCCGATAGCTAAGAAAAAAAAACAATGAAGAGCTTTTATTGCCAATATATTCCAAAGATACATTTTTATAAACACTAACTCTGAGATTTGGAAAACAAACTTCTGGTCTATTATAATTTCTTAAAATATTCTTACAGACAAATTGAATACATCGGGTGAAATCTTACTCTAAAATGTATTTTGTGTTCTACAAAGAACTTTACAAAACAATGTCACATCAAAAGGGCCGGAAAGACTTTCAAGCGTTCATCCAACTAAAATGAACTCCAGATCATTCTAACTAGAAGAAGACACCTTGGGCCTATTCAAGCTGAATAGATAAGTTTTCCATTGTCAAGGATGACTCTTCCAGAGTTTTTGCTAGTTTTTGCACCAGTCTCAGGAACGTTCATGGCATCCTTAAGTACACAGTCAACAGGAAGCAGGGGTAGATCAAAAGGGCCACTCAGCTGTTCAAAATGTCTGAAGGTCACAACTGAGCACAGACTGGTGCTGGGGCAAACAATTTTTTTACAAGAAATAACCCAACATGTGAAGTTTCTTCTATGAACTCTCCAGGGTCCTGAAATTGTAAAGGTTCAGTTCTGTTCATCTGGTTCCACTCTTCGCTAGTTGCCATTTCACTTATTGTATTCCTCAGCCAGTCCAAGCAAGCTGAAAGTTGAATATACCAAACAGTTTCCCTTCCCTCCAAAAGAGTGAGCAAGATTCTTCTCCTTTCTTCGCTGCTTACCGAATAGAAGTAAAACTTACCTTGGATTTTTCATTTTTTATCCGATGAGCTTCATCAATCACCAGATACCGCCAGTTAAATTTTTTGAAAACGGACTTTTCCTTAATGACCATTTCGTAGGAGGTCACACACACATCCCACTCTCCAGGCATCATAACATCACGGATGAAAGCAGCCTGGGTGAAAAACACACATAAAACAAACTCTCTGATAGAACCAGCTTAGAAAACTGCGACAATGACCGTCTAGCAATGCAATCTCAGAGAAAAAGAGCCTCCAGAAGAAACAGAAATATGAACTTTTAGAAGTAATTAACACATTTAGATCATTCACTCTAGTAAATAGGTATTAAATAATATGAAAAATGCATTCCTGCCTGCATGGGGAAAGGGAGATATCTGTTCTTCAAAGGATACTAGCAGTGATGTTAAAACAAAGTTTTTTCCCCTTATAACAGGAGAAACAGTATTTTCCTAGAAAACAGCAGACTTAGCCATTGAATAGCATGTCTGTACTCTGAACAGCGGATGAATCCAATACAAAAATAAGTCATTTACACCTAAATTAACCTGAATATAGCTAGTATTTCTATCAAGCCATACATGTAATAGGTTCATCTCTTTGCCACATTAAAAAGTATATGCCGTATTAATTTCTGCAACTCCGAGTTGTTGCACCAAAGAGTTCAGAGAGACACAACATTGGGACTTCGCTTTTCACCACTGCTTTAATGCTATTTATAAAAATATTTTTAAAGGTTTAATCTGCAGTCTTTTTACAACAATCAATTAACCGTTTTATACTCTGAAACAATGTTTTTCCACATTGGCAACTTTAACATATATATGGACTTCGACTCCCAGAATCCCCCAGCCAGCATGCTGGCTGGGGAATTCTGAGAATCGAAGTCCACATAGCTTCTATCTTGAAATCTGCAGAAGTTGCAAACAAAGACTTCTGGGAACATTACATTCTGACTTCCAGTGTAAATCAACAGCTGACTGAGTAAAAGTGACACTTACTCTGGCATCCTTGTCTCCAATAAGGCAAACTGCCCGTAATGTTGGAACCCAGCGTTTAAATTCGTTCATCCAGTTGTGCAAAGTTGATTTGGGCACCAGAACCATGTGTGGACCGGGGATGTTTCGATAATGCTTCAGATAGCCCAGCAATGCAATTGTCTGTAATGTCTTTCCTAGACCCTACGAGAGTTTTAAAAACAGTATTTAAATGTTACGCATCTCTTTTTAACAGCTCTGAAATAATCTCCATCCATAATCATGCATAAAGGAAGCCGCTGATCACGGTATGATCTATGGAGTCAAAATCCGCCATAATTTCAATATATTGCGATATACAAATTACTATTCTGATTAGCATTTGTTTCCAGACAATAAAATAACTTCTTGAGAACGATCCTCTGTAATTCATAAGAAATATTACGCAGAATGAAATGTTTAATTACAATTCACTCTGAGCCACGCTGCAACTGAATATTTTAGCTGCGGTTTGTATTATTGTTATGCATTATGTATTCCTTCCTTCGCTTTATATTCATGACTCTTTGGGATATCAGCTGCTTGGTTAAATTTTTGCATGCAAAAAAGGATACGATGCATTAAAAAATAATGCTACAGTCATAATTGCCCAAAACTCCCACTATCTGGCTTTTTTTAAAAAAAAGAGAGTGAGAGAGGGACCTACAAAATATGATACAAAGACGCACAAAAGAATAAGAAGACCCTCATCCTGCTAGAACCACAGATTTCCATCTTGCCTGTTTCCCTATATATGATTTGTTGGATATCATAAAAAGAATGTGAAACCTGGACTCAGATGATCAACAACCCACGAGCTAATAAATGCCAGACTTATTACAATGGAATATGAAATTAGGAGGAGTTTGGTGGTAACTATTCTGACTAAACACATTTTGTTATCAGATATGTAGATTGGGTAGGTCAATGTAGGTTTTAAATTTAGGGTCTAGTCACTCTATGCATCTGATAAAGTGAGTTGCAGCTCACAAATGCTCATACCTTTTAACAAAGCGTGTTAGTCATAAAACATGGCCCTAGACAACTCCTGATATATTTTTTTGCCATCATAAAATAATGTGTCTCCTCCCACAGTGGGGCATGAAGAAGAGCTCTATAGCCAAAATAGCTGTTTATCAAATATTTTTAAGAGCTTGGTGACTAGACTAACAGTAAACTCACGGCTCTTGAATTTTTTTCCCCTTATCTTATCTGAAAACTACATTCGCAAAGGTAAGTTTTTTACCATTTCATCTGCCAAGATGCCATTTACGCCATTTTCATACAAGGAGATCATCCAATTCAAGCCCCTAACTTGATAGTCCCGCAGTGTTCCTCCTTTAACATCTGCAGAAACATAAAGCAAGCCTTGGTTATTCTGTAATTGAGTTTAACATATCTATGAAAAGCAGAGATAATGACCAATTGGAACACTCACAAGAAGGAGATTCCTCAAATCGGACGCACACGTTTGAGGTTTTCCGGCTTTCCGAAAGCAGTTCCTCGTCTTCCTCTTGTTCTGTCCTCCTGTGACGATAGCTAAAAAAGAAAACCCAACACATGTGCATTTGGGACAAATTCCTTGTGTGACTAATCACACTTGGCCAAATAAAGTATTCTGTTCTGATCTGTTCTAGTCTAGTCTAGTCTAGTCCAGTCCAGTCCATCTTCCTACTCCTATTCCATTCTAATTATTTTGTCAATGTTGCTCCTAATTGTTGTTACCGTTCCAACTGTTCTGTTCTGATCTGTTCTAGTCTAGTCCAGTCCAGTCCAGTTCAGTCCAGTCCAGTCCATCTTCCTATTCCTTTCTAATTATTTTTGTCAATGTCACCCCTAATTGTTGTTAACGTTCCAACTGTTTGTCACTGACTTGACCTGAAATACAAGTGCTGAGCTGGATACAAACATCTCTTCAAACTGAGGTCAGTTCCTCTCATTCATACATGTATTCATGCAATATTCATGACTCCTTAGGATATCAGCTGCTTGGTTAAATTTTTGCATGCAAAAAAGGATACGCTGCATTAAAAAATAATGCTGCGGTCATAATTGCCCAAAACTCCCACTATCCGACTTTTTTTTTTTTAAAAAAAAAGAGAGAGTGAGAGAGCAAAGTCAAGCGGGAAACCAGATTCACTTAACAACCTTGTTACTAACTTAACAACTGCAGTGATTCCCTTAACAACTGTGGCAAGAAAGGTAGTCAAATAGAGCAAAATTCACTTCACAACCGTCTCACTTAGCAACAGAGGCGTTGGGCTCGATTGTGTTCATAAGTCGAGGACCACCTGTACATGCAATACATTTTAAGGTGTAAATATAATCTCAACGTCACTTTAAAAATAATTTAGAAACAATGCGTACTCTCCTGCTGAAAGCAAGCTCTGCTTCTCATCCTTCTTTACCCGTGGTCGTCCCAGTTTCACTTTGAGGGGAGAGGTGGGCGATTTCTGGGCCGCAGGTTGAATGAAGTGGGCAAAAAGTTCTGTCTGCTTTAGCAGGAATTCAAATCGTTTGGCTCGATCCGTTTTCTACAGCCCATACAAGAAAAGCAAAATAAGACAAGCTATGATTTAGGAAAGCAACCCTGAACTCATATACAGAGGGGGAAAGAGCGTTTGACTCTTCCTAACTCAAAATTACATTCTCTTCCAAACTTCTTCACTGCAAACCTGCGAGGAATGAAGAATGGGTTCCGCAAGACTTAAGGGTCCAGTTGTCAGGGTTCCGGCTAATGAAACACGCACTGCACCGAACAGTTATTTTGCTAGCATTTCCCCTCCCATATTCTGCTGTCATGATTTACATTCTCCAATTAGTTTGAAGGGCAAAGGTTCTCTTCCGTCCTCTTTCGAGGGCTTTTCCCTCCTCCCTCATTCTCCTCTGAATTAACTCTAAAAGTACCAGACAGTTCAGCATAATTTGTCAAAGCAAGAATATTCAATATTAGCAGCGTTGACACCAGTTCAATGTAGAGATTAGGAAAAATATGCAGTCAGACAGCAAGTGCATTAATTGCCCCTTCTAGCCCAACTGTGGTTTTCTCGGGAAGGGAGAGTCTAAAATATAGACTATGATCTCAAAAAGATAACCAAGATTGTAATCTCCACCCAGCTCACAAATGGGCTGTAAGCATTTTTAGTTGTAACTCTCTTTCCAACCTGGAATCATTTAACTTCAATCTCTATGAAGCAGGGGTGTCAAACTCGCAACGTCACGTGACGTGTCGCCACGTATCGTGACTTTTTTTCCCATTGCCGGCATTGGGATGAGCGCGGTTTCGCCATGACGCATCCAGCCCGTGGGCCGGCAATTTGACACCTCTGCTATAAAGGAATAGTTAGTAGCCATACATGATGAAGGGGATGAGATTTTAGTCCAAGATCCACGGAAGGTGCCCAGGCTGTAATGCACCTATCTTTCATGACAAAGATTGCTAAAACAGGCAGGGACGAAATTTTGTCTGGATGACGTTCTCTGATTCGGACAACTTGGACATGATACTAAATGAAATGACTAGTATTGATTCCTGATCATCTAAACCAGGAACCTGTTCAGCAATTCCAAAGGTTATGGAAAGAGGGCAGCTCTGAAACTCTGCAAATATCCTGAACTATGATCAGATGGCAAGGATAGTCTGATTTAAGGACAACCATGCTGATTATTAACATCTCCTCCTTTCCTCGCTGGAACATTTTATGCAAGAATTCTGGAGCATTGTCTAACACAGTGTTTCTCAACCGTGACCATTTTAAGGCATGTGGACTTCAACTCCCAGAATTCCACAGCCAGCAATGCTGGCTGTGGAATTCTGGGAGTTGAAGTCCACATGCCTTAAAATTGTCACGGTTGAGAAACACTGGTCTAACAGAACACTTGCAACATGGTGAAGTTCCAGAACAATAAATCAGAACCATAACTTTGTAAAAGAACTTAAAAGTAGCACAGAAGCCATCTATATTATTCAATATAAGCCGAGTGTTGCTCACACTCCGTCCTGTATCATCCAGATTCTAATAAATATGAGATGTCCAAGTTTAAAAACACAGCTCTGATATTTACAGCATGATATTAAGCCTGGATCCAGACTAAATCAATAATCGTACGTACACGTACATACTCTTACCGGGGGGAAATTCAACAACTCAGCATCCATTTTCAGTAAAATGTATATTACACTTGATCCAAATTCTAAACAACAGAATTTATTTAATTATCATTTAATCGTGATAATTTATTATTTTAATTTCAAACATTAGTCTGGATCTAACCCAATATTTCCGAAACACTGCTTCTGTGGTTTGACAACAGAGAACTATGAAATTAAATAAATACTACAGCTAATATACAATTTTACCACACGAGGGCAACATAATCCATAACTTTTTGATGAATCCCACAGAGGAAGAAACAACCATTTTACATATCTATAATATGTTTATTATAAACGTTATCTTTAGTCTGTTAAGTTCAAAATGTTCAAAAAATATCTGATTAGTCACTATTTACTTGTTATACCTTTCTCCTTGTTAAAAACTATGGCAGAATCAAGCATTTAAGAAGGAAGTTCAAAGCTAAATTGCAGTAATTTCCAAACTTCCAAACCTAAAATAATCTGTAAGGCGCAGCAAACATAATCCAATCTTGGTAATTTGTATTTATGAAAAAACATTGAATTCAATGGAGTTTACTCCCCAAAAATTACATATGGCCTTTTCAGGCAACCAGAAATTCCAACTAAATCCCACCTAACAGAGGCATAGAATCAAGATCACGTGAAGTATTAATACCACTTTACACTGCCTTGATAAGGTCACACTTGGAATACTGCATCCAGTTTTGGACACCACGATGTAAAAAAGATGCTGAGACTCTAGAAAGGGTACAGAGAAGAGCAACAAAGATGATCAGGGGACTGGAGGCTAAAGCATATAAGGAACGGCTGCTGGAATTGGGTATGTCTAGTTTAACGAAGAGAAGGACGAGGGGGGACATGATAGCAGTGTTCCAGTATCTCAGGGGCTGCCACAAAGAAGAGGGAGTCAAGCTATTCTCCAAAGCACCTGAAGGCAGGACAAGAAGCAACGGATGGAAACTAATCAAGGAGAGAAGCAACCTAGAACTAAGGAGAAACTTCCTGACAGTTAGAACAATTAGCCAGTGGAACAACCTGCCTCCAGAAGTGGTGAATGCTCCAACACTGGAAGTTTTTAAGAAGAGACTGGACAGCCATTTGTCTGAAATAGTATAGGGTTTCCTGCCTGAGAGGGAGGATTTATTTATAAATCACTAATGTATCAATGGGGGATGTGCCCTCGCAAACCTGTTTTTTTAAAACTTATTAAAGTGAGGCTGTTATTATACCTTATGCGCCTTTCAGCCTAGAGGCTCCGCGTTTTATATTGAGATGTTATGGCTGACTGCACTACATTATTATTGCTTTTATTCTATGCTTGTATTGCACCAAGAAAAAAGGCCCATAATACTTACTACTACCTCGAGACACAAAACGCTAAAACTGTTCTTCCCAAGCTACTCACCGAGAAAAAGATTTAATGCTTAAGCTGTAGAGAAAAACCATTCCAGAACCAAATGACATAAACTCGGGTCAGAAAATGTCACCTGGATTCTAAAACATTGGCCTTTGGCACTGAAAGTTTAAAACCAAAGCTGTAATTATCTGTTGCCAGACTAACAGTAACTGGCTGTTGGAGACCAGGAGACACACCAGGTTGTAAATCAACTTACAGTTAACCTTTTCAGGTCAAGAAACATAGGGCCTCTTTAAAAAAAAAGAAAAAGAACTCCTAACCCATCAAAAACAACAACCTGATTTCCACCAAGCCAGCTTAATGCCTCCTCAGCTTGTATAAATGACCACAGTGGGAGCTCTCCCTGACAAGCATGGTCAGGTCTGAAGCTAAAGGGTCTTGAGGATGCACAACAAGCAGGTACATCCAAAGTAGGGGTAGGCAACATTTGAGGAACAAAGAGTGCAACTCAATATCCCAACCTTCTGGACCAGGGGTGTCAAACTGCCGGCCCACGGGCCGGATGCGTCACGGCGAAACCGCGCCCACCCCATTGCCGGCAATGGGGGAAAAGTTGCAATACGTCGCGACACGTCACGTGACGTCGCGAGTTTGACACCCGTGTTCTGGAGGGAGGGAAGGAGGATAATATCACAGGAAGAGGCATGACCATTTTTTTCAGTTCAAATCATCACTGAACGGGAACCATCGGTTAGATCATTTTAAAAGTGGACGTATAAATATGGGGACTTCTTATCAGCACAATTAAAATTTAACAAAAGACAACACAGGCAAAAAAAAAAAAAAAAGGTCCAAGTAACAAATTTACCATTTTCTCTTCATATTCCGGATCAATTTCTTTTTCAGACTTAGTTGCCTTTGGGGGAAGTTTGAGTTGAAATGGAGGATCATTTTTCTGTAAATAAAATGAAACATTTCTAATCACAACATATTTAATAAAGAAAAAAGACATGTTCTTTTCCCAGCATAATACATATTAAAGCATGTTAAAATGGAACAGAGCAGTGGTTCTCAATCTTTTCTTCGTCACTGGTTCCCTTTAAATACCTTTTGTGGTCATGGACCCTAGCCACAGACCCCCAAAACATAACTCAAGATTTAAATTGTAACATTTCTTCAAGCCTTCGCAGACCCCGCTGTGATGACATCATGGCCACCCAGGGGTCCACGGACCACAGGTTGAGAACCACTGGAATAGAGAATTTATAATTAACATTGGTATGTCCTCTATACTTCAGGGTTAAATAATGTGTTTTATCTTCATTGGCAACACTTGATACACTAAACCACAAATACACACGCTGGATTTGAACTTACAGATAGGCAGGCATTTATTGCAAAACTAGTCTAAAAACCTGTGTAGCTTAGCAACTGGTTTCCAAGCTTCTGTAAAAAGCTGATGAGTGCAACTAACACATAATCAAACAGCTTTTCTTAGACTATCAGGAAAGCCATGCTGGATCACATCAAAACTTTGTCTGTTCAACATTTGGCACCTATAGTAGCCAATGATGTACAGACTATACCCTATAGCTGCCAATGAGTTTATCAGTGTGAACCTAGGGGATCAGCCCAGTGGAGGGATAAGCATTTTATATTAAGAGCAAAGAAATTCAGATCTGACCCTTCTTTGGACCTGCAGCTCGCTGGACAAATGGAATCCCAGGTGCTATTGAAAAATTCTTTTCCCCCCCCTTCAAATGAAATATTTAAATGACAGAGAACACTGTTATGTCCTCCAATGGCTCATAAATAACCACCCTTCGTCATAAAACCAAGGAGAACCTTGCAGGATGGGACTGAAGCATCCCATTTCCAAGGGTGGCCAAAAAGATGTAGCAACTGTTCCCGCACATCACAACCGGTGTTCCAGAGAAAGCTCCAGTTCTCCGAATGCTATTATGAGACATACTGTCTTCCTTTCTTTCACCACTCACCCTCTTCAAAAAAAAAAAGGCAATTATTTTTCAGAGCAGTGATGCTTCAAAGACTAAACATTGTTGCCTTGGAAACCAAGGACCACAACTGACTCTTGCCTTGCTCTTACCCATTTTGGTCTATGCCTATGGTTCTCAAGCAAAGGCCATATGATAGGATATTTCAAAGGGGGGGGGGCAGAAATTAAAAACATATCCTGGGGAGGGGGGCATGTCAGATGCCAAGGGAACCATAGAAAAGCAAAGGCTATTATACTGCAAATACTGTCTTGTTGCTACCAGAAAATGCACCAGTTATCATCCCATGTCCCTATCTAACTGATTATTTGTTTAAATTTATTGGCCTCTCAACTCCACTGGATTCTGGGACCAGGATAGGTAAACAAGAAAAAAAAAAGGTCTGAAGGAAACCATGAGCAGAAAGTGATAGGGAAAATTCTATAATAACAACAACAACAACAACAATAATAAAGTTAGAAGGGACCTTGGAGATCATCTAGTCCAACAACAACAACAACAAAACAACAATAATAATAAAGTTGGAAGGGACCTTGGAGGTCATCTAGTCCAACCCCCTGCTCAGGCAGGAAACCCTATACCATTTTGGACAAATGGCTGTCCAGTCTCTTCTTAAAAACTTCCAGTGTTGGAGCATTCACCGCTTCTGGAGGCAGGTTGTTCCACTGGTTAATTGTTCTCACTGTCAAGAAATTTTTTCTTAGTTCTAGGCTGCTTCTCTCCTTGATTAGTTTCCATCCGTTGCTTCTTGTCCTGCCTTCAGGCACTTTGAGAATAGCTTGACTCCCTCTTCTTTGTAGCCAACCCCTGTGATATTGGAGCACTGCTATAATGTCCTCCCTCATCCTTCTCTTCATTAAATTAGACATACCCAATTCCAGCAACCGTTCCTTCTGCTCTACACTATAATGCCTATCAGCCCCAGATACACTTCGCAAAGCCATGCTACAATGGATGATGGGGGTTGAAGTCCAGCACATTCCAACCTCATCAGACTAATCACTGAGTGGAAATAATGGAAAGGCTGGTCCATGACAATCAGAGGGCAGGGATGCAATCACAAATTAGGGCTGATGGGAGGGGAAGAATTAAAAGCCAAGAGTCCCTTGGTTTAAGCTATTCTTCTGAAGGCCACATAGACAAATCTTGTTCAATCCCTGGTAGAGGTTGTCACCCTTTCTGCCTTCCCATCCAAGTATCAATTATCCCTATAGCAATCTACCAAGTACACGCAGTCCTTGACTTACAACAGCTCGTTTAGTGACCGTTCAAAGTTACAAGGCACTGAAAAAAAGTGACTTGTGACCTTTTTTACACTGACGACCATTGCAGCATCCTCATTCAGATGCTTGGGAACTGACTCGCGTTTACGACGGTTGCAGTGTCCCTGGGTCATGTGATTCCCCTTTTGCGACCTTCCGACAAGCGAAGTCAATGGGGAAGCCAGGTTCACTTAATCACCGTGTTACTAATTTTAACAAGAGACTGGACAGCCACTTGTCTGGAAGGGTATGGGGTCTCCTGCTTGACCAGGAGGTTGGACTAGAAGACCTCCAAGGTCCCCTACAAACCTAATGTTATCTTAGAACCTATTCTCCAAAGCGCCTGAAGGCAGGACAAGAAGCAACGGATGGAAACTAATCAAGGAGAGAAGCAACCTAGAACTAAGGAGAAACTTCCTGACAGTGAGAACAATTAACCAGTGGAACAACCTGCCTCCAGAAGCGGTGAATGCTCCAACACTGGAAGTTTTTAAGAAGAGACTGGACAGCCATTTGTCCGAAATGGNTCTTTGCAAATTTTAGACGATGCTGTGCGGTTGATTTACATTTATTTCCTAAGCAAATGTCTTATTCAAAAGGAGTTATTCACGAGTCCCTTCTGAAATGCATTTGTTCTCCAAATCACACAAGCGTGGCTGGATACAGGGGTGCATATTTGACATACCAAACAGAATTCAGTCTAGACGAGTGGGATTTATAACAAAATTCCTTAGGCTGGGAAGGGCACCTCCATCCATTTTTCCAACTCCTCCCATTCCTAATAATCGCTCAGCTTTCTCTGGATGCTGAATCACTCAAATTCTCAATGGGGTCATTTTGGATTTTCCCCCATTCTCTGGGGTTTTTTTTTTTACAAACCTTTTAAAATACCCTCAAGCCTTTTGATGGGTATTTTACTGGGTGGCACCGTCACTCTTCTCAGCCCAACCCAGCTCACAGAGTTGTTGTTGCTGTGGGGAAAATAAGAGGGGAAGGGGGAGGAGTAAGTGACTACAAATGAAACTTTGAGCTGGCCACGAACAAGGAGTGTGTATCGGAGACGGTGACCCTTTGAGAGCTGTATGCAATGAAATTTCATTTTGATGTATGCCGATTGGTGTACGTTCAAAGTGACAATAATAATAAGTCTTGAACGTTGCCACGGTTGGACACCCCTGGCTTACATCCTCCATCTTTGTCTGTTCCAATTCCTAATCTCTTTTAAAATAATAATAATAACAATAGTTGGAAGGGACCTTGGAGATCATCAAGTCCAACCCGCTGCTCATGCAGGAAACCCTATACCGTTTCAGACAAATGGTTGTCCAGTCTCTTCTTTAAAACTTCCAGTGTTGGAGCATTCGCAGCTTCTGGAGGCAGGTTGTTCCACTGGTTAATTGTTCTAACTGTCAGGAAGTTTCTCCTTAGTTCTAGGTTGCTTCTCCCTTTGATTAGTTTCCATCTGTTGCTTCTTGTCCTGCCTTCAGGGGCTTTGGAGAATAGCTTGACTCCCTCTTCTTTGGGGCAACTCCTGAGATACTAAAACACTGCTATCACGTCCCCCCTCGTCCTTCTCTTCGTTAAACTAGACATACCCAATTCCAGCAACCGTTCCTTATATGCTTTAGCCTCCAGTCCCCTAATCATCTTTGTGGCTCTTCTCTGTACTCTTTCTAGAGTCTCAACATCTTTTTTACATTGTGGTGAAAAAATAAAGTAGTTGTCGTTGTTGTTGTTGTTGTTAGACACCTTCTGAAGAGAAACCTCTTCTTGCATAAAAGCGTTTTGCTAGCTTTGGGCTGTTTTGCAATATCAGATTTCAGACTTCAGATGTGGTGACCCACCCCCATCCCTCAAACCTATGCAATAATACGCTAGTTTGGTATTAAAGCCCTCTGGAATCTCCGTGGCTTATAAAAAAGGCAGGGCAACTATGCAAAAGTAGGGAGTTGCAGAATAAAAATGAAATAAAACAAAGGATGTAAAATCACGTGCCATAATGTTTGTGTCAGATGCCCTCTGAAGACTCCAGTCCTCCCTCAATTCAGTTCGCATAAATATTTTTACGTGAACTTTTCCTTAACCTTCCTCGCAAATCTGGAGGCAATCTAGCGCTGATGGGGGGACGTGTCCTTTTTCCATAGGGGTCTGTCTCTGAAACTCCTGGGTCCATCTTTTCTCTGGAGGATGGGGGTTGGAGTCCTGAGTTGTTGGACGTTTCTAGTTGGGAATTAAACTTTTTAAAAAATCAGCACTACTGGCAGCTGGGAGGCAGCCCTTGGCCAAAAACATAGTAGATCTAACGCCCATTTATAGCCAGAAATATATCGATTTAACGGGAATTAGACCAAATTATAGGACCAGTCCTAGTTATTTCACTCTTCAGAGTTACAATATTTGGGGAAAGAAAAATGTTGTAAAGTAGTCCTCCACTTACTTAACGACACTACATTTAGCGACCACTCGAAATTACAACAACACCGAAGGAAGTCACTTACGACCCTTTTTCACGCTTAGCCACCCTTGCAGCATCCCCACGATCACGCGATCCAAATTCAGCCGCTTGGCAACTGACTCCCCTTGATGACCGTCGCAGTGCCCCCGGGGTCACGCGATCCCCTTTTGCGTCCTTCTGGCAAGCAAAGTCAGTGGGGGAAGCCGGATTCGTTTAACAACCGCATTGCTAATTTAACAAACTGCAGGGGTTCACTTAACAACGGGGGCCAGAAAGGTTTATCAAATGGGGCAAAACTCCCTTTTAACAAACGTCTGGCTGAGCAAAAAAAAACAAAACGTCGGGCTCCATTGTGGTCGTAAGTCGAGGACTTGGCTGCATTTCACTCTCCGACTGGGCTCCTGGTCTGATTGTGGGGTCCAACGATGACCTAAAGCAGGGGTCCTCAACCTTGGCAACTTTAAGACTGGTGGACTTCAACTCCCAGAATTCCTCAGCCAGCAAAAGCTGGCTGAGGAATTCTGGGAGTTGAAGTCCACCAGTCTTAAAGTTGCCAAGGTTGAGGACCCCTGTTGTAGGGGATTTAGCTTTCTTGGCTGAGGAATTCTGGGAGTTGAAGTCCACCAGTCTTAAAGTTGCCAAGGTTGAGGACCCCTGTTGTAGGGGATTTAGCTTTGCTGGCTGAGGAATTCTGGGAGTTGAAGTCCACCAGTCTTAAAGTTGCCAAGGTTGAGGACCCCTGATTAAAAGATTTGGACAGGATTCGCACCTCGAGCTCCGAGAAGGGCGGGGGGGCGCGGGGCGGGGGAGCAGGGGAGATTGTGTTAGCGCCCCCTAGCGGCCGTGCCCCTTCTTCTGATCATCCAGGCCGGGTTTTCCTTCTCCTCCGGGCGGTGAGCGGCGCCCGGCTCGGGGGAATCCAGGCCGGGTTTTGGCACCTCTGCCACGGAGCGGCGGGTCAGCCGTGGGCAAACAAACGGCCGGGCTGGCTGGCAGGGCGCGTCGCTGGGAAGCGCTGGGAGTAGCAGCTGCTGGCTGGCTGGCTGGCTGCCTTCCTTCCTTCTCCCGGGGCAGGAGGGGGACGCGGGACTCCTGCTGCCGATCCCCCCCGATCCCCGCCGGCCGGCACCCGCAGGTAGGACCCGGGCACGGGCACGGTGGGATGTTGCAGAAGGAGCCGGACGGGACCCGGGTCGCCTGCTGGAAGCCGATCGCCAGCCGGGCTTTCCTGCCGCCTCGCCCTTTTCTGCTGGCGCTCCGGATCCCGTCCTGCCTTGCCCGCCCCGGGGCTGCGTTCGCACGACCCGCCGCCCCGGCGTGTTTAAGCCAAGTCTGCCCAGGTCCTGACTCTGAGCGCCACCGATGCCCAGGATGCGGGG